CACAACTCTGCTCATGCCTATGAAGACTCCCCATTGCCTCAAAGGGACCAGAGCTTTTCTGCCTGCATCGGGGCTTCAGCTGTTCTTTGAGCTTAGAATGTCCCTTCTGTTCCTCATTGTCCACATTTCCCTATCCTATCAGCCCCAGTTAAAAATCCTGCTCCTTCTAGCAGGTTCCCTGCCACCTACCCCCTCTCTCCCAGCTTGTCTCCTCCTATTAAGAGCTTTGGCCCAGGGCATCTTGTATGATGTGACCACCAGAGGACAGGCTGGAGCTGCATGATGCTTTGCACACAGACCTCAACAGAGGTTGTTGTATTAGGTTGCTGAGTGGGGCTGGGGAACTGCTTTTTTTTTAAGATTTTATTTATTCATTAAAAAAAGATTTTATTTCTTCATTTGAGACACAGAGATAGAAAGAGAGAGCATGAGCAGGGGCAAAGCAGAGGGAGAGGGAGAAGCAGGTTCCCCGCTGAGCCAGGAGCCCGATGTGGGGCTTGATCCCAGGACCCTGAGATCATGACCTGAGCCAAAGGCAGCCGCTTAACCATCTGAGCCTGCTTTTCTTTCTCCTTTAGCTGCACCTCCTAGCTCAGATGCAGCTAAAGCCATTGCACACGCAGCAAGGCCTGGTTCCTCTTTTGCTGCCACTGATTGCCGCCCCTGCTGAAAGGAGAATCCCTTTTTCGTCAGTACCTAGTTTTGGATTATTTATGTGGCGAGTAACTAAGATCTCAAGTCAAACAGATTTAAACAACATAAGAGGAAGGTATTGGCCCAGAGGACTGAAATGTTTGGCAGGTGGAGGACTTTAGGTGAGGTTGATCCAGCAGTTTCAAACGATGGCACCATAGGCCTGGACTCCCTCTGCCTTTCTCGATGCTTCCTTCACCTTCATGCTCCAGAGGGTGGTTGCTGCCAGCCTAACCTCACTCCTCTGCCCCCAGTAGCTCTGGGCACTCCTCTCAATGCCATTCATATTGTACCAGTGGGCTCACTTCTCTACACTGCATGCATGGTTCAGAGAAGAGAGAACATTTCTCTCAAGAGTTGGAAGAGAAGTCTGAGGGGCTTGGCTCTCATAGGCTTGAACTGAGCCACATGTCCATTCCTGAACCAATTTTTGTGACCAGTTGGCTGAAGCCGATCATGACCCACCCCGGAGAAGTGTCTATCCCACCCAAACCTTGTGGCTCAGACGGAGGGTGGGGAAGTAGGGAGTGCTCTGCAAAGGAAATCTCGGGTCTGGATCACCACAAGGGTAGATGGGTGACAGTGGGAAAAACCCAGATGTCTGCTATAGGGCTGTGTGACAAGAGGCAGGAGCAATGCCAGCCGGCCAGGGGGCGCCAACCCTAGCACTCCTGCCCCTTCAGGCACAGGGACTTGTCTCTGAGCTGGAAAGGACGAGGCGGCAGGCACCAAACTCCTTTTGAGAGTGCTCAGCGATGCCCTTCCCAGCATCCGAAGGGCCTCCTTCCATGGTTCCGTCCTGGTCTCCAGTCATCCTCAGCTGGGGCCTGCTCCCAGACCTGGCCTCTGCCCCCAGCTAATGGAGCTGCTTTGCAGCTCAAGAAGCCCCACTTTGGGAGTCTCCCAGCCTAGAGGACATAGGCAGAGTTGGGGGTCACAGGGGTGGCATACAGAACGGGCACACCCTCCCCCCAACCCCTCTGCCTCATTTCCATTGGATCCCTGCTTTACTTTTTTTTTTTTTTTTTTAAGATTTTATTTATTTGACAGAGAGAGACAGCAGCGAGGGGGGGAACACAAGCAGGGGGAGTGGCAGGCAGAGGGAGAAGCAGGCTCCCCGCCGAGCAAGGACCCTGGGATCATGACCTGAGCTGAAGGCAGACGTTTAATGACTGAGCCACCCAGGTGCCCCCCTGCTTTACTCCTGAGACAACTGGGTCACTGGAAAACCAGAACCGATGTTGGAAAGGTAGTAAATTTTTCAGAAGTTTATTGATCAATAGATTGTGTCTTCGTTTGTTTGACACTTCTAAACAAGATTACAAAAAAAATAGAAGCATTGTGTATTAACTGCATGGGCTAATGGACACGTAACTTGATACACTCTTAAATTAGGCCCCTGTTTACCTGATTAAACTCAGTGGTTATCTGTCCTAAGAATGTTATTTCTCTGCTACATTCTGCGGAAGAAATAAACAGTGCCTCTGTTAACGGCTTTCCTGATCTTCAAGGCAATTTGCCTGGGGTACCGCTCTGGGCGTAATGAAGGAGTGTGATGGTGCAAAGTGGGGAGGTCCCAGTGGTGGCTGTCAGGCCGTGACTGGTGGCTAAGCCCCCCACTGGGCAGTGGGCTGCAGTGTAAGACATTCCCAGTGTGGTGGACAGGCGGCTCCTCGGGAGGCCCGGTGGAAGCATGGCAAAGGGCTGTGGTCAGGGGTGGTGGGGCCAGGGCTCTGCGGAGGCTTCCCCTGTGGGCTGGTAATCAGGGCAGGGGTTGAGGGGAGGGCAGGAGGCATTGGCTTCTCCGCAGATGCTTGTTGATCCGCCTGGACACTCAGTTGCGTGATACAGAATTTAACTCCTCAAAGGCACACCGTCCTGCAGGAGGAACCACAACTCCAAATCGAAAGATGCTATAGCTGCATAATGACAAGTGCTCTGAGGACCCAGTCCAGCCCTGGAAAGGCGAAAGTCAGCTAAATGAATGGCCCCCCCCCCTCACAGGGGGACCTGTGGGCCATCCCAGTGTGAGGTAAGGAAGGACTCCAGGTACAAAGCTGGGCTGGAGCAGGTTGGATGTCTGCATGTTGCCACGAAACCGGAGGGTTGTGAGAGGTCTTGGTGCAACGTTTCTTTACAGATCGGTTCAGGAGGGCCTCATTGGCAGGCTTCCGACTTGCAAGCTGACTTTGGGAGGGGGAGGCTGAAATTGATTTCCCCCCTAAACTCAAGGCTGCAGAGGTTTGTTACGTGGTACCAGGGACTGTGTGGAAAATGGAGTCCAGATTCTTAGATCTTCTTCCGTGGAGTTGTGGAGAGCATGGAGAGTCTCACAGGGCTAGAGTTTACCTACCTCCACCCTCCTGCCCCGCTGCAAAACACCCCCTGCCGAGGGGGTACTCTGAAAATTGGGGTGATGTGGGGAAGGCAATGTGGTTGGGCAGTGTGAACAGAATTCTAGAGGGCTCTGCTGTCCCCCAGCCCTGCTGCACGGGGAGGCAGGATAAGGGGTGTTTTGGACACAGACTCAGGGAACTTTGTGTGGGTCCTGGGAACATACGGGTCCTCATCCTTGGCAGCCATCCCTGAAGTTTTCCAGGGCTTTTCTTTCCAATCAACTTTTCACAACGAATGACTTCATGTTGTAAGAGAAGATGTTAAGAAAAATGGGCATGTGATTTCTTTTTTTTTTTTTTATCTTTCTCAGCAGGGAAAGGATGCAGCTACCAGATGTTTTCCCACCTGACGGCATGAGGGTGGCGATCACAGTGCCTCAAGAAGTTTCCTTCCGTGTAGAAAGCAGAAACCTCAGTCTGCTAAAAGCTTTCCTATATGTCTCTGCATAGACAAAACTGGGCCATTTCTGCGTATATACTCATTGAGAAGTATCAAGAATACATACTCATGTGGTGTGTGTGTGTATATATATATATATATATATCTTTATGACGATTGGGAAGAACTAAAAGAACAGGATAATTCTGAATGGAAAATCAGCTAACCCTGGCATCGCTAAACCTTTGGAGCAATGAATTCTCTCTTCTTCCCTCTGCTTTGCCCTTTGGAGGACCCCCTTGTGGGTACACACTTGGGCAGTCCTCATGGGGTTCACCAAACCATCTGCTTATATTATAGTACTGACATAAACCTTTCTTTGCTACATTTCTGATTAATTTCAAAGTGCTCATTAAGATTAAAAATCCTATTATGAATTTACTTCTCTTAAAGTGATCATATTTAAAAAGTAAACTAGGGAGTGTGAGGGGTGGCATCTGGATAAAAGCTTCCCCAAAATAAAAATGTTAAGTCTGCATTTCTCACCCTGATGTCACAGGCAATATCAGAAAAAGAAAAAACTGTGGTTTTTGGAAGGCTCGGGCGGGACTGTTCTGATTTCCTTCACTTCAGTGCCATGCGGCCATCACCATTTTGTGCCTCTCTTTTGTATTGCATAAATAATAATGAAGTGAGTAGCCCACAGAGGGGGGAAGGTGGCAGTGAGCATTACCCGCTTCTGCCTCCGCCTGATGGGCACCTGAGTGAGTGGACCAGAGAGCTTTATACGGAGACTTAGAGAACACTCAGGAACCAAATCCTGCCTTGTGATGGGCATGCACACTATGAACCTCACAGCCTTTGGAAGAAAAGGCTTCATATGAAAGATTCTGTCCTGTTTCTGTATAAAGGCTTTTCTTGTAAGAAAAACTGGACATAATAAAAATGCCTATTTTTTTAAATAAAAATAGTGTCTAAAGCTAGAGAATGACCTTTACCACCTGACAACCTGAGGCGGGCTCACCTTGCGTTTCCCTTGGGTCCCTAGGCCCAGCACGCTGCAGGCACCAAGACATGGGTTTAAATTTAAATCCTGTCATTGACCAAGGAGCCTTGGGGACATGTCACCACACTGACGACTGCAGAGAACCACCTCTTTCCTTTACTGTAGTTTGATTATGATAAATAGACTTTGCTACAAATTATTGGACAGACCAGTAAGAAAAGCCAACCTTCAGACTTCAACATGACTTGAATACTAGAAATCTTGCCAGGGGCTAATAAAGGTTCTGAGTTCCAAATTCCCAACCAAATGCAACTTTGCTGGGAAGGTCCGGGGTAGGGGGAGCTCTGGGTGGGTTAGTCAGGGGGGTGCTGGGTATCACAGATGCTCTCTGCTGGCCTGGCTGCCTGTCCTGCTCGAGGCTGCAGGAGGGATGGGGGCACGCACAGGCACAAACCCAGGGGAAGCAGTCTTCTCTTTGGTAGACGGCCTGGAGAGAGCAGAAACCTTCTGTGCTCTGTTATGTTCCACTCTCAACACAGCAGGAAATGAAATAAATAAGATCAACTTTGCTCCCTCCTGGTACCCTCTAAGGGACAGACAGGAGCCAAAGCAGGTGCATGATGATGTGTGGCCCAGAGCAGCACAGGCTCGCCGGCTCCGGAAGAGCCCCCAGCTCCCTCCCTGCGGTTGTGGGATTCTATCCAGCTGGCCTCCATGTCTGTCTCTCCAGGCTTCCCAGCACTCTTTGGTCAATTTCTCTTTTTTCTCAACCCTTCAATCTCCTTATCCACCCCCTCCTCCCAATATTTTAATAGAAACTCAGGGAATTTTAGAGGTGAAAGAACCTCATCTAGTGACTTGTGTCTGCCCTCCTCATTCCACAAGTGGGGAAACTGAGGCACAGAGAGGGCAGTGCCGTGGCCAGGGTCAGTGAGTCAGTGGCAGCACGGGCCTCGGGCCCAGGCCTCCCCACCTCCCCGCCATCCCTACCGCCCACTGCCTACCCTGAGAGCAGCCCACCCCTCAGTCGGCCTTTGGCAAGGACTTCCTGTGGGAGGGGGGCACGAGGTGGGAGGGAAGGCTGTTGGGCAGCTCGTAGCCGTCGAGCTTGATCTTGATGAGGTGCTTGGCCAGCGCGAACTCCTCCTCATCCAGCATGCCGTCACAGTCACAGTCAGCCAGCTTCCAGATCTTGCCCAGGACGCTGTTGGGCAGCTTGGATGTCACCATCTCCTTCTTGGCGTTGACACCTGATATCTTGCCGTTGACAGGAGACAGGGTGTAGAAGAGCTCATCGTAGATGGGCTTGTCTTTGGCCACGACCCACTCCTCCTCATCGGCACCCTCCTTGGCACCCTCCCCGTAGCCCTGGTTGAAGGGGCCCTCAGTGGTGCCGTCGAAGGCACCGCCCTGCACGAGCTGAGTGGGCATGCTTATCTCCTCCTGGCTGATGAGGTTCATCAGGGACGAGATCTTGCTGCTCAGCATGTTGTCCACTGCCTCGATCAGCTTGGGCTTCAGCGAGTGGAATTTGGTGAAGTCATAGTTCTCCAGCTGTTCCTGCAAGAGGAGAAACCACAGACTTGGTCACAGGCCCTCGCTTAGGAAGCAGACAGGGAGAGGGTGAGCTGCAGGCAGAATTGTCCTTTAAGCAGACATCCCATCCCTGGGCTGCTCCAGAGCTCTCTCTCTTTGGTGGGGTCCCCACATCCGAATTCACCAGATCCAGGAGCGGCTTTTGGAAAAAGAAACAAGATGCAGAGAAGACAACTTTTTTTTTTTTTTTTACGATAGCTAATCTTTGGCGGGCAGCCACGTGAGGGATAGCTGTCCTCTAGGGCTTTTGGACACCCTTTCTTCAAGCTTGCCTTTTTATGTGTGTGTGTGTGTGTGTGTGTGTGTGCGCGCGCTCTAGAGATTTAACATTTTACCTTCTAAGGTGATCTTATGACATACTCTGTTGATCTTTACAACAATGCTGGGAGTAAGGAAGGGCAGGGGTGAATAACCCTGTTTGATGGACAGCACATGGGGTGTTCTGACAGAGCCAATATGAGAGCCCATGGTTCCTGCCTCTTGACTAATGCTCTTTTGTGCTGTAACATGAAGCTGTGTCACAGGGTCCTTTCAGGTAAAACCATTATTTAAGGATGTTGTTTTGGGATGTTAAAAAAATGGTGTTTAAGGTACAAATAAGTAAAAGTTGAAACTGTTAAGTGGGAAAAGAGTAGGAATGGGGAGGGTGAGTAGAAATCCAGCCAGTGGGGCTAAGTATCACTAGCCCAGGCAGGGCAGGTCTCAGCTCCACCTGCCAGGAGAACTGGCCCATCAGCAGACAGAGTGGCAGGAACATGGCAGGAACTGGGGAGGGCCCTGGGACACAGCAGTTGCCCGACTGGGACGGGAGCCAACCAGAGATGCCACATAGGCTCTGTGGTTGGCCCTGGAGAAGCAGCCCTTCCTACCTTCGTTCTCCTTGGTTACTCATCCATCCATCCATCCATCCATCCATGCATCCATGTATCCATCCATCCATCCATCCATCCATGCATCCATCCTTCATCCATCGACCCATCCAACAGTTATTGCCAGGCTCTGTTTGGATCCTGGGGATAATATAACCACAAAGAGCCACAGTCTCTGCCCTTAGGGAGCTTATGTTCTAAAAGAGGGAAAACATTCTAGTTTTTTTAGTTCCTGTCTACTTTCAAAAAGGGTTTGACTGAACTTACAGTGGAAAAATGATAACATGAAATAGAAGAAAGTCATTAGAAAGGGAAAAGCTAAGTAATTAAGAGGGAGAGCAAGGGGACCATTACATCAGACTTCTAAGGTGAGAAAAGCTACTGCCCTTCAGACACCCTAGCTGGGGTGCTGGGGCGGGGGTGGGGGCACCCTCTCACTGCCTGAGGGAAGAAACCACCTGTTTGTTGCAAGAGACAAACTTTTACTGAATTTATGAGAGGTACCTGGGGCCTTTTATGCTCTTTGAAAAATGTCTTCAACGGCAGTTTTGCCAAATAAATGCAGAGAATTCCAGATATGGAAGTTTTTATATGGGCTTTATACGAAATATTTCTGTTAGGAAAATTCTAGAAGGCCAGCGAGGGGCCATACAGGTGTGCAATTTTCTGGAGATGAGGTAGGGAGACCCCTGAGTAAAAGAGGTTTCATTCAGACCTGACTGTTTTGGGCAGAAGTAATGTGATGGGCAGTTAGGGGAAAAAAGCAAAATTTTGTGCAATCATAAATATCACATCTTTATTGTAAAAATTTGGGAAAAAACTGATAGACAAAATAAAACATTTCAATCACTTATAATTCCATCACCCAGGAATACCTTCTGCTAATTTTCTTTGGGCACATATTTCCAGCCATTTTTACACATGAGCGCGCGCGCGCGCGCACACACACACACACACACACTCTTTAACTGAAATAAGACCATACTGTTTGACAACTTTCATTTTTAAGAAAAAAATGTATCCCATCTTTCCCTGATAATAATTTTTATACAACCTTATTTGTAAGAGCTGTATAATATCGAACTGTACAGCTGCGCCATTCTTCGTTTACCCTATCCTGTGTGGTTGGACATGAGTCAGAATTGTGGTCTCTAGAGTGTACCAGCAGGGCAGACATTCTGTGCTGTTATTTGGAAGGGGGGCCCTGAGCTTCAGGTCGGGGGACGGAGCTAAAAGCTAAACAGCTTGATGGATGTGTAGAGAGGCACCTCCACACTCTACTCAGTAGCAAACTCTGAGGCCCTCGAACCACGCAGGGCCGGGCTGGGTTGACAGCCGCACGGTGGTGCGGGCCCGGCTGCTAAACCCATTCCGGTTTGCGTGTTGTCTATCCTCACCGACAGACCACGGCCACCTGCATGCCACTCCAGTACCAGCACTCGGCGTTGCCAACTGCCGCTCGCTCAGTCAGCCAGGGGGATGGAGAAGGCGAAGCCCAGGAGGAGGAGCACAGCAGGCAGCCTACACAAAAATCCGAGTCCTGCTGGGGTAAACAAGTCTGGATTCCCCTGGGTGCACAGACACCTACCCTCCTTCCCCATGAATGAGCCTGAGCTCCGAGCACACACAAAGCCCCTGTGTCCGGCCAAGCAGACAAATGAGGGTGGAGTCCGCCCGAACCTTCCAGCTACCTGCGGGGTCCGTGGTTCCGATGGCAATCCGCTGGAAGGGGAAATGGCCACAAGTCTGTGGGGGTGGACAGGAAGTAACAGTAGCAGCCACCCCTTGCCTGGAGGGCACAGAGGAAACAAGCCCTCTACTCTCATCCCGAGGCCTGACCAGGGAGTATAGGGTGCAAATGAAACCGCCGCCATCCCTGCCCTCCACCAGGTTCGCTCCCAAAGGACATCTTTGTATAGGGATGAATACACACGGGGGAATTTATGGATTTACCCGTCAGCAGTTATACCCATCAAAGCCAGCAAGCCCGGGATCCTGGAACTTCTCCCTCCCAAGGCACAAAGGTCAGTTCCCAGCCCAGTCTTCGCTGGCCTCTCTCTTGCCCGCTCACTGCCCACGTTCACCAGAAGCCGTGTTCCAGTTTACAGTGGGCTGAGCAGGTGGTGATGGCTCGGCTGCCCTCTGCCGTGGGAATGCTGCCCCCTCGTCAGCTGAGGGGGCCGGGCTCTCCGAGGAGGGAAACTGAGTCCACGATCCAAGGGGCCTTGCTAGTGTTCTCACTCTCCAGGCTGGACCCTTCCGTGTGATAAGTCGGATTCCCTCCCGAAAGGGGGCAGGGCAGACACAGGCTGCTTCTCCAGCAGGTCATGGGCCCCCAGGCCTGCCCTCTTCCTTGGGGAGTCCCTGAAGGGACTGGGGTGCTGTGATCAGGGCCTGGCCAGCTTCCCAAGGAGGAATCCTCTTCCAGCTTCCAGGGACTTGCTCTGAAAACTGCTGGTCTCTCTATAAGCCATGTGGGTGTCAGGGCAAGGTCACGGTCCGAGAACTTCACTATCTTCCAGCCTCCTTGATAAAAACACACACTAACTTGCCAAAGAGCTCATCTAACTGTTCAGTGGGCACCTGCTACCCCCCTGGGGATATGGCGGTGCCAGGACATGGGTCATTGGCCTCCGGAGCCTCATGAGGGAGAGAGCCACCGAATAAATAAATGAATGACACTGAAGCACCACAGCACTAGGGTTGTAACAAAGAGCACAAGTCCTAACGTCAGGCTTGGCTGCCAAAACTTCATTGCCAGCCACAGTCACAACGGCTAATACTGTAATCCAGAACGTACACTCCATAGGGGCAGGGATGTGTGCTGTTTGTTCACGGATTTATCCCAGGGACCTAGAACAGTGCCTGGCATGGTACACTTACTATTTCTTGGTGAGTGAGTAAATGACCACGGGCGAATGAGGGTACCCGTCAGGTGGCACTCCTCGCTGCAAGGGCTAGGGGCACTCAGGTGTCTACTGACAGTGCTAAGGCCTCTCCTGAGATGCTAAAACAGGGGCCCATGGCTTCCTTGTCTTCTTCCCTAGGGACCGCCCCTCTGCTCCAGCTCAGAGAGGCCTGGGCTTCCTCGGACGTAGCTGAGCCGAGGCTGACACGGCCGTGAGAAGCTCTGGTCGCGGCGTGCTACCTGTGTTATGGGAGGTCACCTGGGGATAGGTGTGCAGGTCCTGTAAAGGAGGCTTATAGTGGCTTCCTGCTGGGCTCAGGGGTGCCTCAGGTCTTGGGAGTGGCATCTTCTTGTGGGTGGGGCACTGTGGTAGCTCATGAGGCTAATGAGCCACAGAGGCCCCATTAGGCCATAGTGTGCACTGTGTATTTATTCTTAGCTTTCATTGCGGTCAAGAAACCAATTTCCCTTAAAAAATATCTGAAGGATGCAAGGAGACAGCTGTCCCTCAGTTTGGTCATGGGGTGCAGGGCATAGCCCAAGGGCGTGAAGGCGGGCCTGCCCAGGAAGACTGCTCCGGAGGCCAAGTAGCCCTCCAATTAGCCATCTTGTGATCAGAACCGTCCCCCGTCCCCCAATTCATCCTCTGAGTACAGGACTACCTATTTCATTTCTCGAAGGAAAAAGATGTTCTGGATTTATTTTGAAGCCAGCTAAGTCATATCTGACCACATCATATATTCCATGCTCTTATCACCTTGAACCCTGCCACCTCAACAGTATGACCCACTCCTATGCTAGTGTGTCCTTTATAGAAAGTTTACATTACAAAACTCCTCAAGGCCGAAGCTTCCCCTCCTGCTGCCTGTTGATCCTTTGCCTCTACTGCTCCATCTCTCCTCCTCCGCCGCCCTCCTGAGGCAGCCAGGCCGCTCGCCGGCCCACCTTCCCGCTGCTTATCTTCGACCACTCTTCCTCTAGCCCCGCCCTCCTCTGTGGCTCAGGGCGGCAGATGGTACCTGGAGGTCTCCAGGGTGTGGCCAGAATTGCAGGATGCTCTGTCTGGCCTAGGTAGTACTCTTTGAAAGTTTGAGCTACAAGTTGAAAACCAGGGAACTTTACATACAAATCTAGATTTGCAGCTTCTTGTGGAACCATCCAGGCCCATGTTCCCACCGGGCAGGTCCGGCCTTTTCCACACAGTGAAGCGGGGCACAGATTCCCAGGCCTGCCCCCATGGTGGGCCCCTACAGTTCTCACTGTACTCGCACACTTGTTTTCCTCCTGGGGTAGTCCCATTTCCCAGAACCTACATCTCCATCAAATGTGGGAAGACAAGAGAGAATCAAAGAGGGCGATGTGGTTTTTCTTTGCCCGGCCTGCCTCACTAGCTACAGGCATCTGAGTTTGTGTGGCGTGCTTTCCAGGAGGACGGTGGCCTCTAGCGCAGATGGGTCCTCGCTCTGGACAAAAAGGTGGTCAGTCTGACTCTGTGAGGAGCCAGGTGGGGTGGCCTCGCTTGGGAAGACATGGTCAGCGTTGATGTGCTTTACTAACACCACTGCAGGGTGGTAGATATAGACACACTGGACAGGCCAGGGTGGCTGAATGCAGCATCCATTTGGGCTCATCTGGGGCTGCTCAGACACAACTCAGGGAGACCCTAAAATCGGGTCCAAAGTTGCCCAATGCCAACCCGTAGGCAAAATCTTTAGTGAGCACAACTTGCTGTACCCGTGAAGTCCAGCCATGCCCGGAGAGCCCTATGGACTCTGAGCCTGCAACAGCAACGCTGCTTGAGTGTGTACTGTCACAGTGCCTGGCGGTCCAGTCTTGAGGACGCCGCCTGAGGTGACCTCCAAGGTCCCTGCCAGCTCTACTTCCCTTAAGGTTCTGGGATTCCAAAAAACAGGGGTCACTTAATGCCAGAACAACTATGAACATAGCCTAAGAGGCCCGCTCATCTGATTTTTTCACATGACCTAAATTTACTTCCTTTTTGTTACAAGAGTAATTTTTTATTTAAAATCAATTTAGGTAACCTAGTATATTATTAGTTTCAGGGGTAGAATTTAGTGATTCATTGGTTGCATACAACGCCCAGTGCTCATTACATCACGTGCCCTCCTTAATGCCCATCGCCCAGTTACCCCATCCCCCCCCACCTCCCTCCCCTCCAACAACCCTCAGTTTGTTTCCTAGGGTTAAGAGTCTCTTATGGGGACGCCTGGGTGGCTTAGTCGGTTAAGCATCTACCTTCAGCTCAGTTCATGACCCTGGAGTCCTGGGATCGAGTCCCATATCTGGCTCCCCGCTCAGCAGGGAGCCTCCCTCTCCCTCTGCCTATGGCTCCCCATGCTTGTGCTCTCTCTGACAAATAAATAAATAAATAAAATCTTAAAAAAAAAAAAAGAGTCTCTTATGCTTTGCCTCCCCTCTCTATTTCTACTTTTCCTTCCCTTTCTCTGTGTTCATCTGTTTTGTTTCTTAAATTCCACATGAGTGAAATCTATGGTATTTATCTTTCTCTGACTTATTTCACTTAGCATAATACACTCTAGCTCCAACCACATCGTTGCAAATGGCAAGACTTCATTCTTTTTGATGACTAATATTCCATTGTATAAATTTACTTCTTGAAATGTGTCCCTTTTCGGTTAGATGTTTTGGGGAGGCAGACAATCTCTGCTTTATTCACAGAAACCTATTATCATGGATCACCATTAGGAAGATGCATTCATTGCCTTCTCTATCCCTTTTTTTATTTTTTTTAAAGATTTTATTTATTTATTTATTTGAGAGAGAGAATGAGAGAGAGAAAGAGAGAGAGCATGAGAGGGGGGAGGGTCAGAGGGAGAAGCAGACTCCCCGCTGAGTGGGGAGCCTGATGCAGGACTCGATCCCGGGACTCCAGGATCATGACCTGAGCTGAAGGCAGTCGCTTAACCAACTGAGCCACCCAGGCGCCCTCTATCCCTTTTTTTAAAGAGGGGTGGGGTAGACGGAAAGACAGAATCTTAAGCAAGCTCCACACACAGCACGGAGTCTGACCTGGGGCTTGATCTCATGACCCTGAGACCATGACCTGAGCCAAAATCAGTTGTTGGATGCTTAAGTGACTGAGTCACCCAGGTGACCCGCGTTCTCTATCCTAAACCATGAAACCTTCATGAGTACCCAGCAACCAGCCAGACAAGGTGGCGTTGCCTCTCCGTTACCTGCCCGTGATGCTACAATGGGCTCTCAGTACCTGCATTGCCTTAACTTCTGGGAAGTCCCCGGCAGAAATCTGGTATTCTCGCTGCAGCTGAAGGTAGATCTCTGGCAATCTGCTGATAAGCTCTCTCTTCTTGTTTTCCTTTCCGAATACACTCGGCATCTCCTTCTTCAGGTGGCTGATAATGTAGGCATGTACCTGAAGGGGCATATGTCAGTAAGGACATGCTATTTAGAACTGCACCAGAAAGATAAACAGGAAGGCGTCTTAAATGTATCATAACACATAACAGGTGCCTGTGCAGGGCCATGGCCCTCCGGACAGAAGAGCGAGGATCAGGGGGCTGGGGGGCTACATTACAAAACTGCTTCTGGGCAGTCTAGAATGTGAAGTACATGAAGGACCCCAAGATGGTGCTGTCTACAGGTGCCTGGAAAGAGGGTTCCACCCTCCCCGGCCGAGTCCGAGCTCCAGAGACAGCTGGCCTGGGTGTCGGGTTTAAGAGTTGGAGCAGAGGTAGGTGGCGGCCAGAACCACAGGAGTGGTTGAGACCACCGAGGGAAAGTGGGCAGAGAAAACCCCACCAAGAAGGACCAGGAGGGGGAGTGGGCTGTGACAGAGAAAGGCTGTGGGGGAGAAGGGCCAGGAAGAGGTGACACCTGAGTTGGGCCCCGAAGACTGGATGTGAGGGAGGGCTGTGGCCATCCAGGAGAGTGGAGAGCGCAGACGGTGGTGTGGAGGTAACACACTGTGGGCCCTATTTGGGGCAGGGCCGTGTATGTGGCTGTGGCACATCTCAGAAAGTGGGGAAGGCAGACTGCTGTGGGGGCCAGGAGCCGATGGAGAATTAGAATGAGCCTCCACTAACCTCCTGTGGTGCTGATGAAGGTTCTGGGAGACCAGGGGCCAGCACAGTGCCATGAGCTCCCGGCTTTGGAAGCGGGCCGGTGGCTGGGGATAGGGTGGGGCGACTGACTCAGGCAAGGTCTCTGGCGCTGAGCCGTGCCGAGTCTGTGCAGGGAGCAAGGGGGGTGGGTGGGGCCTGGGCAGAAAGACCTTAGTTCTGGTGATTAACCAGAAGACCTAAAGAAAGTTTCAGCAGGGCCGGTGCCCGGGAGCACCAGGAAACGAAACTGGAGGCTGATGCAAATGGCTGATCTGACGTAAGTGGCTAATCTGCATGGAAATCTGTGCCCGGTGAACAGGGAGATGAAAATTCCTGTAACCTCTCCGTGGAGAGTTTGAACACCAGGATCTCTATAGATGGTACGGAGGTCCTTTCTGCACCAGACCAGCTGTGTGGGACCAGGCCAGACGGCAGAAGCTCCCTCTGGGACAGGGACCCCCAGTACACGAAGGGGAAACTCCAGAAACCCGGGTCAGCTGGCCGTAGCAGGCCAGGGACTGTCACTGGAGAGGTGGTGAATCCTGCTGGGGTGGGCTCTTCTTGGCTGTGTCACCCCCTTCCTCAACATTTCCACTCTTCTGCTGATTTCCAACTTTAGGACGTGAAGAAATATTTGTTACAAAAGTTCTCTTTGTATGCCAGAATTCTATAGAGTCATTTAGAAGTCAAGAAAATAAAATGGGAATGGATGAAAAACAGAACAGTGATGACAAAAAGAAAATGACTAGGCAGCTATGGAAGATCCTTTATTAAAGAAAACAGACTTCTATAATCTTGTGGAAGAATGGAAATTGAATAAAGGGGGTAAGCAGAGACATCCTCTACCTCAGCTGAGAGCCTCTGTGTATGGACCCACACTGGGCACAGCCCAGAACATTCTGCTAAGATCTGAAACCTAAAATAAGTGCGTAATGTAAACGTGGATGGGCTCAGACCAGACGATGTGAAAGGGAGGTGTCGAAACCTCTCTGTCACTAGTATACTTATTTACCTATTTTTCAAATTAAAACAACTTAAATCATTTATATGATTCTTTGAGAAAGGGAAACCCCAAATTTGGGAATGCTTTATTTAGAGTGTCAGACTAACTGCATTCCTGAGGATATGATGAATACGTGGTAAGACTAGCAATTTCCTTGCCTTGGACGGTGAATGCCTGGCTTGGTTTGGTGGGGCTGGGGAGGGTATTATATCGCACAGAAGGACTTGGAGGGGCTGCCGTACTCAATTGGGAGAACCAGCAGCCACTAGCTGTCCTTGTGTCATTTCCAGGTGCTCCTGGAACTTCTGGACTGGGCCAGTGGATCCCTCTCTCTTCCATACTCAGGCCTGCCCCGCGCTGGAGCCAGCCCCAACTGAAGCAGGAACTCCCAAGCTGCTTAGTCTCCTATCTACAAGGGTTTTTACTAAACTCCCACCCCCAGAGCCCAGGCCTGGGGCAGCTGCCGGACCCCTGCAGGGCTTCCCAAGACTCCCTCACTGCCTACTAATGTGGACCCTTTGAGTTGCCAGGCCTGTGCTCAGGGAAGGCTGACTCCCCACACAGCCACCGGCCGCACTAGGATTGGCACTCAGTTTCTGAACACTGCCTGGTGCCCAGGGGCCTGCATTTCCTGGCCTGACTGCAGGTGATGTGCACCTGCCACAGCTCTCCACCATAGCCTGGCACCTGCTCCCTCATCGCAGCCCTCATGGTGTTCTTTGGTTGGTGACCAAGACTGCTAGATGGTGGGCTACCCTTGGACACCAGGCCTCTGGTGCCATAACAGAAGCTGGGCCTCAATTCCTTCCTCCTTCCACCCTGCCTGGCACTATCTGAGTCATGACCCTCAGGGGCCCTGCTCATGTTGCAGGCTGCTCTCAGCCTCAACCTTCACTTCCAGAAAGTTCCACTGGCCTGTTTGGTGGGAGTCTCCTATTGTGCTGTCTCTGCCTCCCCACCCCCTCCTGCCCTTCCATGGGCATCCTGGCAATAACCCAGGGTCAGACACGATGTATGGGCCCTGCCTTTAAGAAGCTTATTGAGTTACAAGGTAAATTATAATCCTTAGAACCATGGAACATTACATCTGGAAGGGACCCCCGTCCCTTCTAATTGCACTTCTGGTTCCAGGAAATTCACATGACTTACTCAAGGTCACACAGCCACTTTGTGTGGGTGAGGCAGAGCTGTCACTAGCATTCAACTGCCTCATTCCTGTCCTTACAGAGTTAATTGCTCTCTGTGGGGATGCATTAAAAAATCTTACTAAAGGGGCGCCTGGGTGGCTCAGTCATTGAGTGTCTGCCTTTGGCTTAGGTCATGGTCCCAGGGTCCTGGGATGGAGCCCTGCATTGGGCTCCCTGCTCTGCGGGAAGCCTGCTTCTCCCTCTCCCACTCCCCCTGCTTGTGTTCCCTCTCTCGCTGTCTCTCTCTGTAAAATAAATAAATAAAAATCTTAAAAAAAAAAAAAAACTTACTAAAGCTGTTGAAAATCTGGAACTGAAAATGAACTGTGTCCTATAGAAAATCAGTGTGGAAAACTGTGACTTGATGGGTTTTGATTGTCCCTAAGTCCCAGGGACACTGTGGGAAGGTCATTTAGACCTTTGATTGTCCCTAAGTCCCAGGGACACTGTGGGAAGGTCATTTAGACCTCCATTTAGAGTCTCCTTCCCCATATGAAAAAAACGCATATATTATGGCACATACCCCTATGAACACCACGTAGGATGTGGGTACAGACAGCAGTCTTCTGGCAGGATGGCACCTTGTCATTTTCTAAAGACCCTTGGTAAACAGATGGGACAGCCTGGAGACACATTCCTGCCCTTCTGTGTCAAAGAAGTTTTTCCAGATAAACACAGGACTGAGGGCCAGACCAGGCGATGGTCCCTGGGGAAGCAGGTGGACACAATCTAAGACCTTTTTTTCTTTATAATGAAAGAAGACTAATTGAGAAGAAGGGAGACAGGAAAGACAAGAGGGAAGAGAAAGGGGGGAAGGGGGAGGCTGATGAGACCCAGTGCTGGAAGGCCAGGGTCAGGCCCTGCCCCCACTGCCCACTTGCTGAGCAACGCCAGGTGACTCGAGTCCCCCACCTCAGCCTAAATCACACACAAACTGGAAATGACAACTCTGACCTCACAGGGTTGCTAGGATGAGAATCAAAAGAGATCAGGGATTTGGATGTACTAGAAAGAGGAGTAAAAATGTTCCTTGTTATTGCCTAATGGCCAAAGACCCACAGTCAGAGGGTTAGTAATGCCAGAGAAGGCTTGTGGTTTAGTTCTTACTGAATAAGGAATAAACTCGTACCGAATTATTAATAGTTACTGAAAAAATTAATAAGCTCTATGTATTTGAATAGTAGTATGATGAATCTGGGTCCCAAGCGCTTCATTCACAAGTGACATTGAACCCTGGGGGCTTTTGAATATTCTTATCTTGTCCAATTCACCCTTTCTCTCGTATAAAACTGGGAAAGCCCTAACTCATCCAATGCTGATGATTCGGGCTAGGTCAAATGCATCACAATGTCAGTTTCTCTCTAGGCTAATAACACAATGAGCAGAAAGAGATGTCCTTCCCTTTAAATGAACATGAATTTATATCTAGTTAACATACATATTTTGCTACAATCTCATTAACTGTGTCCAGTTACAAGTGTTCGTACATACCCAAGGCGGAGAAGCATGTACTCAGAGTGATACTGGATGTATCCACCCTGGGCATGGAGGGCAGCCCCAGACAGCGAGTCCTGAAAGCTTCCATTGCTCATGGTCAGTAGGAGTGGAAATCCTCACAGGATTTGGATATCGGGGAGCAGTTTGGGGGGATTCAGGCTGGGGGAACATGGTTGTACACTATGCCATCTCAACTGCAAGTTAACCCAACCTGTTGGAGACCTGTGTCTTTGGAGGCCCAGCTAGAAACTTGCACCGAGCATTTAACATTAAGAGATCAGCACATTTTAGAAGTGGGTTTATGATGACATATAAAAAAAAAAAATCAGTTAACGAGGTAGAGACCCAGAAGGTGGGGTCAGCCGCTGTAGAAGGATCCTCACACCTGAGCCTGGGCCCATTTGGTGAATTACAAAACATCTAACTTCTCCACAGAAGGAATTGGCAGTGCAGACAGACCGGAAAGCTAGGCTCTGCGCTTTGCATGTGACTGGTGGAGAACACGCTTTGAAGACAAAACTGAATGCCACAGACCTAGGGTGGATGCTGAAAATCCCTGACCTCTCCTTTTCTTTCTCATTTTTAGCTGTTCCTTCCTCAAATGTTGACTCATTTTTTGTTGAGTGAAGATCGCTAAAGGGGTGGGAACCTTTCCTACTCTTGGGCAACGTTTACAAAGGGTGGAGTCCTATTTTTGTTCGTTTATTCCATTAAGTACTCTTATTTGGGGTTTGTTTGTAAGAGCCCAATTTCCTCAATTTGGCTATTTTAGTGATAGCTGCATAAAAGTAAATGACATTTTCTAAACGCTTTTTTGGGCTTTCCCAAAACTGCCTAAAGAATCATGAAATGAACCTGGATTAGCACCTTAGATTGTAAATCATCTTCAAAAAAGGATGCCTACTGATATCATTAAGATGCAATCTTTGAGGTTAACCAAAAAACCCACTCTAAAGTTTTCTTGTTCCTTGAAATACAGAGAGTTGTGAAAAATATATATAAAAATGGAAAAAGCAGGGAAATCATTAAATTTCAAGAGATCTTTGGTAAGAGTGCCATTTTTCAATTATTAAAGTGTCATTTTTATGGTACCTTGAGCTTGATCACCGCAGAACCTGGCAGGATATCAGCAACAGGACATACATGCTTCACTTCTGGGTGGGATGTGAATTCTGCCTAATTAAGGTGTTCTATAAATAGACACACTCCATACCCCAACTCGATCTGACACCTCCTAGGTGACATCTAAAAACTTATCCTTTGCATGTCTGTCAGCTTGATAAACCTCTAAACTTTGCAGGGTTCCTGTGGATAAACAATTTCATAGAATACACAGAATGACAGATGAACGCAAAAAGCAAGAGTGAGGGCACCTGGGTGGCTCAGTTGGTTAAGCGACTGCCTTCGGCTCAGGTCATGATCCTGGAGTCCCGGGATCGAGTCCCGCATCGGGCTCCCTGCTCGGCGGGGAGTCCGCTTCTCCCTCTGACCCTCTTCCCTCTCGTGCTATCTCTCATTCTCTCTCTCTCAAATAAATAAATAAAATCTTAAAAAAAAAAAAAAAGCAAGAGTGAGAAGCTACAGACGCTGTCCACTCTGCACTTCAGGTGAGTGCTCTCCAGACCAAGGAGCCAAACTAACTAAGGTCCGAATTTATATTTTGCAACTCACAAGCTGTGAGGCGTTGGGCAAGTTGCTTCACCTCTCTGAGCTTCAGTTCCCTTGCATGAGAAACAAAGATAATGCCCAACTTTGTGCACAGTTATGGACTGGATCAGATGAAATAACACGTGTAATACACATCGTAGAGCTTCTGGAACACTGCAGACCCTCAGTAAGGGTTGGCTTGCAAAAGCAACCCTGGATCAAGAGAAATAAAGATCAATATGCCAAAATCAAAGAGCATTTTCATGCAATATAAATACCGCAAAGAGAAAAACTTGGGTGACTCCTTGTCCGTTTAAGCAACAAATTCACAAATGGCCATAAAGTGGCAGATGGTGTGAAGCAGATGACATCGGTTAGTAGCTAAGGCCTTTGTGCTGAGTTCTGTTCCTTCTTTGCCCGAGCCTCTGTGTCCTGTCCCCCTGTGCAGGATGGTACTGCCCCCGGGAGCACCCTGGCACTGAGAAGCTCAGGCTGGAAACATCCATACTTCAAACATTTTCTTTTATGAAAAGGAACAAGCCAGATACTATTCTTAGGAAGAAAAAAAAAAAAAAAAAAACGACAAGCTTTTTTCCGAGACATAAGCTCAGCAAGTTGCCGCCTCTGACCCTCCTCCACCCCGCACCCCTATCCCCTGCATCAGCACAAGGGCTTTCATTATTCCCACTGTCAGGACAGAGCAGCATTCTGTGGCCATGCTGGTCCGTCCGTTCAGAGGGCCTAACGCTCAAGGAGGGCAGAGAAGTCCCAAGGCGCTTGGCATTCCCTGTGAACTCTCTGCTCTTTATTTATTTCTATGACCAAATACAGCTGCGCCTTGAGTCACTAGGCCTTCAGCAGTGACTGGTAAAGTAGAAATGTCCATGGGCATTTATAAATAGCTCCAAGACAATCTTGAAATCTACAAAGGCTAGCAGAGGATTCACCAACTTGGTTATAGAATAAGGTTGGGAATCGTGGACCCTGAAGTGTGAGTTCAGATGGATCAGCTGAAGAAGAGAAATACCACACGCCAAGGGGCTACCAAAGGGGCGAAAGCAGACTTCCTGCCACCAAGCGTTAGGCCCAGGACTAGCGCACGAGAGAAATCACTTCAGGAGAGCTGCAAGTAAGTGGATTTACAAACTGATTAGCATGACCTACGGCCTTGTAGAAAAAATGGTGGTAGCTCCAGAGAGGAACCAGTCTGGACCAGGAAGACGGGATAAAGAATGGTACCTCAGGCACCGTGACTACAGATGAGCCAGGCGAGACAGGAGTATGTGTGAGCATGCACCGGGATGGAAGGTGAGCAGAGGGCAAAAGAGCAAATGGGGGTCCTATCTGTGGGGCCAGAGATAGACGGCGCCGGGCGTCTCTTTGGATACAGGAGTGATGCTGCTGGGTGAGCACGCTGGCACGAAGACGGAGGCTGCTGGGCAGCGATGAGGAGCTGTGAGAAGGCCGACTGCCTGTCCAGCAGCCACGCTCAGCGAAGCCCTCCCTGCCTCCCCCAGCCAGACCCCCTCCTCAGAGCATGGTGTCCACACCCCACTCAGCACACAGCTCATCATTCTGTAATGGGGGCTTGGGGGCCTCTCCTCCTCCTCCGCCAGCTAGGCTCCCCAGCCCTGGCCCTGGTGCTTAGCAAATGGGGCCTGCATGAGGTAAAGTGGTGGTGGATTCCAGAAGGCTGGCCTGCTGGACCCCAGGGCCAGACCGGAAGTCACTCTGTGCAGCAAGAGTATAAGGGAGGAGACATGGTTTCTTTGCCACCAGAAGACGAAGGGGAAGTACACTGCCCTCCCTTCCCGACCAGGGTGCCCGTGGATTTGGCAAGGCAGGCCTTTGGACTGGTTTTAGCTAATGCAACAAGGCGCAGGGCTAGGCTGAGAGCAGGAGTGCTGTCTTTTCGTCCTAGTTTTGTTACTCGTGGATTAGGTGACCCTGGAGAGATTGCTTATTCTACCTCGTCCTTCCAGAATTAGGGAGTGGATAGACCTCTGGCTTCCAAATGTGGCTGATTATCAGAATCACCTGGGGAGCTTTACACACACACACACACACACACACACACACACTCACAGACACAGACTCACATACACACATGCAGATATGCACACACACGAATCAGAAGCTCCGGGGCAGGGCCCGGGAATTTACATTGGTTCAAGCTCTTGGGTGCTTCTGATGATCCTTGACACCAGACAAACTCTGGAGGCACTTCCAGCTTTAGAGGAATATAGGATTTTGTGAAAGGTGCACACAGCTTTTAAAAAAAACATTTTTTTCCCTACACTTTTTCTTAGAGGAGTCATGCCCTTTTCTCTCTTCAGAGATGTGCAGAATCAAGGACAGTGCTTGAGGATGGCAAGCAGATGAGCACTCACCCCGCCAGGTACATACCCCTGGGGCTGCTGAAAGGCTCAGCTGTGAGGTGGAGAAGCCCAGAGCCACAGCGGGCATGTTGCGGGCACCCACCCAGTGTGGGGTGAGCCACAGCCTCCAAAGAAGCGCACTCAGTGCGTCAGGCTGAGCCCGCCTTCCTCCTGGGGCAGCTCTGGCCCCAGTGACAGTGAACACTGGGTTCTGTGCCTTAGGCACAGGGTGACTAGCGGTGGCATCTCAGCACCCTAATGGTCCCACCAACACCACCTCCATGGCTCAGCTGGCTACATTCTCCTTGTCCTAAGATAAGAGCAGCTTCCAGGTGGTGAGTGCATCAATCCCTCCCTGTGTGCCCCGCAAGCGAGGTCACACTGGAGCCTCACAAGCATCCTATGACATGCTCTTACTAGCTCTATTTTACAGATTAGAAAACAGGTTTGGAAAGGCTGAATCATCTGCCAACGATCACAGAGTAGGAGCCAGAATCTAAACAAGCATACTGATCTTGAGGCTCTCTTCTTAAACTTCCACTTTCCATTCCCTAGGGCACCTGGAATGGAACCTCCCGCACCCCCACCTTCCCTTAGAGAGGAGAGAGCGGGAAGGGTCCCCTGCTGCCCAGGGTGTCTCCTTGGCTCACCTTGGCCAGCCTCGCTCGCTTGATGAGGTCGTTGAGTTTGCGCACGGCCGCCTTCTGGGGAAGGCTCTGGATGTCTCTGAAGAGGTCCTGGGCCTCGGCCTCGAAGAGGCGGCGGTTGTCAGTGTTCTGTAGGGGCTGTGCCCAGAAGGAGCCGATGTAGACACGAAGCACCTCGGGTGTGTTGATGACCTTGCCCAGGGACCACATGAGGGCCCCATAGACGCGCATCAGCTGCTGTGTGTCCACTTGGTCGGCCTTGTTCAGCACCACACGGATCTTGTCGTCTTGGCCCCGGAAGGCCTTGATGGCCTCCGAGAACTCGTCTGAGATGTCCAGTTTGTGAGCATCGAAGAGCAGGATGATCCTGTCCACGCGCTCCGCGAACCACTGCAGGACCTGGCAGAAGTCATAGCCTAAATGGAGAGGAGGGCACGTCAGTGTGGCTGATGCTCAGGGCTGGGGACGTGCTGGTGCACTGGCGGCTGCCAAGGACAGAGCGCCACCTCCAAGGACGCAATGGAGGCCTCATGGCCTGCAAATCACTTCAGATGAGCCCCCTAGGGCTGGATGCATTCAGGAGTTAATGCTGAGGATCCCAGGAGCCCTTCCCTGGGGAGAAACAGGGCCTGAAAAGGTGCTCATGATCATTCTGATCAGATGTCACTTACTTCTGGATCTGTGATTTCATTTAGTACCCATGAGTCTCCTACTTCCCCTGGTACAGTCCTTGGGATTGATGGCAAATTTGATCAATGGCTCTGTAAAACCACAGGCCCTGGGTCAAAAGTTCTCCCTTCTGCCAAAGGCTCGCTTTTCGGAAAGAAGCAGAGGTAGAGAAGGAAGAAGACCCAGGGGTCGCTTGGGGTTGTACCCAGTAAGCGCAACAAAAGAGGAATTGTCTTCTCTTACCCTAAGTGTTTAGGGGTTAAGAATGCCAAATGTTGACCTGCCCCAAAACCGTGACCGATATTTATCATTTGGACTATTTATATCTTAAGTAAGTTGTAAATATTTTTAAAAAATCATGTCTCACAGCCATTGTGTGAAGCGGTCTCTTGCCAATTTCATTTTAAAAAATGGCCAGGCCCACAACAAATTGTTTAGTTTTCTTTGGCTGCATGCCAATATGCTCCAAATCATGCAGCTCTGTAAACACTCCTCACCGGCCGTGGTCAAGGCCTGTTTCGGGCCTGCCCCTGGGGAGGCAGAGGCCCGCAGAAAGCAAACAAGAGAGGACCAGTCCCACAAGGTTTATTTTTAATCTCTAGGCTATGACTGATTAGCTGTGGGCTCAGGCTTGGCGCAGCCCAATTAGAGCCAAGATGGTACCTTTCTTGACTTCTACTTTAGTCCTATCACCCCTTTTTTTATAGATCTCAAGAACTTCCAAACACACATAAAGGTCTAGAAAATAATATGATGAATGCTGATATACCCATCACATAACTTTAATAAATTTTGACCTTTGGCCTTTTTTGCCTCAGATGCTTTAAAGAATTTAAATGTACTTTATTTATATAACAAAATTCCATATAGCAGTGAGGATGAATTAGATTTTCACTTGTCAACACAGGCAAATCTCCAAAAGACTGGTGAGCGAAAAGTCAGTTTCAAAAGGATATATCCAGTATGATAACATTCACATAAAACATTAAAAAAACAAAGCAATACTCAAGAGCCAACAGATACATACGACAGCACAAATACAAAAATATTAACGCTAATTTTGGAATACTGGTCAACTCTGAGTGTTCTAAGGTAGATGAGAAAGCATCTAGAGAATGATCTATTTTCAAAAATAAAGGGGGTCGATGGACTAAAGTTTCCATAAATTTGCAGAACAGGTGTAAAGGGAGTAGTTGAAGAACAAAAGGATTTAGACACAATTTTAATAAAGAACATGAAACATTCCAAAAATGCTGAAATCCCCTGTGGACCCTTCCCCAAGCACTCTCCCCAGAGGAAAGCACCGCCCTTGAACATGGTGTTTATCGTCATTACATGTTTGTGTGTTTCCCGTTCATACTTCTCACTTCTCTATTCTGTCTCACGGTGGCACTCCCTGATTCCCTGGGGACAGGTGGGCAAAGGTAGTTGTCAGAATGTGGGCCAGAGTTTATTTTCATCACGATCAGCAGTCAGGTGATAACAGAAGAAAATCAAAGACCTGTTGCATGGGGTTGCACAGCAGTATGTAAAGATTCAGAGTCCAGATTTCACTCTGAGTTCTGTCCCTGCAGGGCCAGAACAAACTGCCTCCCAAGGTGCTTCTGTCATTCCAGACTGATTTGGGTCCATCAGATAGTCCCAGACTCTGGGTAGGAGATCCTCAGCAGATGAATGATGGTGCTGTGTCCTGGGAGCCAGGAAGATGTTTTAGAACTGACCACCAGAAAGACCTGCATGTGGGCACTGGAGTGGACATGAGTTGAATTTGCTGGACACCCTTCCTATTGGATGAGAGGTCCCATATGGGCCATAGATGCTGAAAGTGTAGCAGACAGTCCCTTACCCTACTCATTGCCAGATTGGGGTACAGACAGGTGATCTAGAACCAGAGAATCATCTCCTCCCACCAGACGGGGTTGTTGAATCTTGAGGGAATGATGCAAAGTCATAGGGAAAATGAGAATTTCTTTCTTTCTTTTTCTTTCTTTCTTTCTTTCTTTCTTTCTTTCTTTCTTTCTTTCTTTCTTTTTCTTTTCTTTCTTTCTTCTTTCTTTCTCTTTCCTTCTTTCTTCCTTCCTTCCTTTCCTTAAAAAAAGATTTTATTTATTTGAGAGTGAGTGAGTAAGAGAGTGAGAGAACTATCGGGGGGAGGAGCAGAGGGAGAGGGAGAAGCAGACTCCCAGATGAGCAGAGAGCCAGACTCGAGGCTCAATCCCAGAACTCTGGGATCACGACCTGAGGCCAAGGCAGATGCTTAACCGACTGAGCCACCCAGGTGCCCTGAAAAATGAGAATTTCCTAAAGGCAGAGGTGCTGAATTGAGAGTCCAGTGGTGGTGGCTTCCTAACCTAGTTTTTGAGACTAGCTTTCCAACCTATCCATTAATTCTGTGAACAACTGGATTTTCTGGGGGCGCCTGGGTGACTCAGTCATTAAGCACCTGCCTTTGGCTCAGGTCATGATCCCAGGGTCCTGGGATCAAGCCCCGCATCGGGCTCCCTGCTCCGTGAGAAGCCTGCTTCTCCCTCTCCCACTCCCCCTGCTTGTGTTCCCTCTCTCGCTGTCTCTCTGTCAAATAAATAAAATCTTTAAAAAAACAAAACAAAGCTGGATTTTCTGAAAATTTCCTTTTCTGCTTACATCAGAATCAGTTTCTCTGGTTTGCTACCAAGAACCATGATTGGTGAATAACTTTCCCCACATCAGAAATACTCTTACAATCAGTGCCAAAAGACTTTTGGCACCCCCATTGCTGTCAGCACCCGCACATGTTCAAATTCAGCCACGGAGACATGAATCTCTTCCTCCAAGGACCACCCAGGTTGAGTGGTGGGCCTCGACAGTACCCGTATTTAAACTTTCACTTAAATTTGGGTTTCTAATAGTTATTTTAAATGTCTTTTTAAAAGATGTCACTCCAATGCGTCATTGAAATAAAATAAAAAAGTGGGAACAGAGCTCCCAGATATAAGTTTACTATAAGTGAGGTCATTACTCATCTCTGGAGGAATGGCCACATATCTATATTTTCTTGTTTTAAAGTAACTAGGAGAACTTAAAGTTTAAGAAGTACAGGTAGATATAACTGTGTTCTGTTTGTCATTGAGCAGGTGTAAGGAATTATTTGTTACACATTAGGGAGTATAATCAAAGGTAAAAAAAATCACCAAGTGTCTCAGGAGAAAGCAAAGAATTACCACAGCTGGGAGAGGTTGGTCTGCTCATTTTTTTTTCAAACACAGTTGTTGTTATTAGTATTTTACCATTTTAACCATTTTTTAAAAAGATTTATTTATTTTAGAGGGGGAGGAGGGACAGAGGGAGAGGGAGAGAATCTGGAGCAGACTCCCCACTGAGCACCAAACCCGACGTGGGGCCCAATCTTGCAACCCTGAGATCAAGACCTGAGCCAAAATCAAGAGTTGGATGCTTAACTGACTAGCTACCCAGGAGCCCCCCACTTTAACCATTTTTAAAGTGTACAATTTATTGGCATTAAGCACATTCACATTGTTGTGCAGTCACCACCATCTGTCTACAGAACTCTTCATCTTCCCAAACTGAAACTAAGTACTCATTAAACATTAGCTTCCCATTCCTCCCTCCCCCAGCCCTGACAACCACCATTCTATTTTGTCTTTATGAATTTGACTACTCTAGGTACCTCATGTTACTGGAATCATACAGTATTTGTCTTTTTGTGACTGGCTTATTTCATTTAACACAATGTCCTCAAAATCCATCTGTGTTGTAGAATTTGTCAGAATTTCCTTCATTTTTAAGGCTGAACAGGTCTGCTCAATTCTTATGTCTTCATGATATAAGATAGGCACCCAAGTACTTATCTACCAAAAAGTTCCAGCTGATTTTAAAGAAATAATTTAATGATGTTATTTATTTAGTCTGTCTGCTGAAAGAAAACAGTGACTCAGAAGGACCTACAGATTTCTCAAAGTAAGGCCTTAGACTCAAATAAGGTGCTTGCCAAAGGTTAGACTTGCAGATCCTCCCCCCCACCCAGAAGCACAGAATTGGAATCCCTGAGGCTGGGCTTGGTGGTCTGCATTTTTTAAACCTCCCAGATAATTGGCGATGCCTGGTGGTATAAAGACCACTACTCTAGACTGAACACCAAAGAATGGGATGGTACAGATAGATCTACATTACTACTGGTCTAAACACATCTAAAGTAGCTTCTTTTTATTCTAAAAAGTTACCAATAGATGTTTAGATGGTGCACCAAAGAACTGAGGAAACATGGAATTTAAATCTGCTTTCATTTGAAGATGGATTTTTAAATTTATGAAAGTTCCCCTATCTTTGCTGATGCTGGACCTTAGCCCTGGTGAGCCCTTCCCCTCTGGGGTAGGACCGAGAAATCTAGCCTAAATCCTTATCATTCTTCAAAATACCTGGACCTTGATTCAGTTCCATGTTACTTAATTTCCTTAAGCCCCAATTTTCTCATCTGCAAAATCGAGCTACTGAGTGATTACATGAGAAAATACTCTTAATGTGCTCAATATAATGTTAAGACTTAGTAAACTTTCAATAAATATAAACTTTCATTATTATTTCTATCCCCCGGGCTCCAATCCCTGCTGTAGGTAGACTCAATCACTCCCACTTTTGAGCCCCCCAAGCCCTTTAAATATACTTCACACAGTGTATTCTAATCAGGTGGATGTACGGGTCTCTGTCATTGGATCATAAATTCTTTAACTGCAGGGACAATGTCTTGCAC